GGCAGCAAGCCGGGCTGCTGCTGTGGGTGTGGCTGTGTGTTGATGGTGACGGCCTTGAGGGCGCCGCCGCGACGCGGGCACAACTCACACGGCACCTGATGGATGCACAAACAAAGCGAGCGACAGGCAGGCAAGAGTGGCACCGTGTCGTCTGATGCGCTGTGTTGTGTTGTGTGTGGTGTCGTGTGGTTCTCGCAGACTGACCTCCCAAGGGTCCTCTCTCCTGCGGCAGACGTCGCACCGCCACCGGTGCCGCTTCTTGTCTGGCGTCGTGGGCAGTCGATGTTGCGGTGGCGGAGGCGACAGTGGACCTGAGAAGAAGACAACAGCAACGGACCATTGACATGTTTTCCTCTCTGCCTCTCTCCCCCCCGCATACCGGCAGATGACTCCTTTGGGCAGAGTACCCGCTTGCCAAGTGTCATCCGCAGCTCAAACGGCTCATCTTGACCTATCGGCCCACCCGCCCTGGCGCGCTCAAGCAAGGCTGTCAGCCGACGCAGATCCCAGCCGTTCTCCCCGTCACGCCGCACCGCGGGATCGCACACATGTACCGCCTCGCCCTGCCTGTCATCGAGCGGCCCTGCCACCACGTGCAGAGCGTCTCGAGAGTCCTTTGCGGGCCTCACGCCGAACTCTTGGACATCCCGATAGGCCTGGTGGAACATGCGTAGGTCACCGGGGTCACTCCTCTTGTAAAGGATATCTCTCAACGATTTGACGACCCTGAGGACGCAAGCGGGGGGGTGCGATGACGCCGGAGACGGCCCAGCGGCAGCAGCTGCTGCTGCAGCAGAGGAAGAAGACGCTGCAGCTGCAGCTGCTGCATCGGGTGACGCACCCGACTCCGATTGCTGCTCCTCGACTATGTGGTCGATGCCGTAGCAGCGGGGATGGACGTGCACACGGCAGGTGGCACACTCAATTAGCGGCTCCTCTGTCCCACCCTGACCACACATAACACACACAACACACATAACAACCACCCTCTATGTGTGTCTGTGTGTATTGCCTGTCTGGCCTGCTCTCGCCTGCTGGCTGACTGACCTTGAGGCAGACGGCACAGATGTTGGAAGCGTATGTGTCGGGTTCGAGAACGAGGCCCATGGTGGGGGCTCCGTCGGCATCCTTTTCGGCCTCCTCGCCGTCCTCCTCGCCAGCCCTCTCGCTCTCCTCTCCGTGGGGCGGTGGGAGTGGCGGGGGG